CAAGAAACGACCAGATAGGTGTAAAATACTGACTGACAGGAGCCAACGCACCTTGAGAAGGCTGGTTTACTCATCTTGCCATCAGATTCTAGAGAAGCTGTGTTTGGAGAGGCGAGCAGCCGCGGGCAATCCTATAAGTGTTTCCACAACACGTCGAGAGCTTCATGCCATGAATTTTCACGGAAGAGCTGCAGCCAACAAGCTGTTGATAACAAAAACAAATGCACACTGTCTATTGGCATGGGGCAGGGCACACCAAACCTGGGCTGTAAATTACTGGAAATCTGTCCTGTGGAGCGAGGAGTCACACTACGCGCTCTTCCAGTCTGATGGGTGTGTTTGAGTATGAAGGATGCTTGAAGGACTCTTATTACCTGAGTGTGTTGTCCCAACAGTGAAGTTTGGAGGTAGTAGTATCATGATCTGTGGTGCTTATCGTGTATGTACTAAGTCCACTGGTCAGAGTGCATGGATCCATGAATGCTGAGTCCTACATTAATGTTCTGCACAATTCTGTGTGTCCTACATTGTGGCAATTTTATGTTACTGGCCCTTACACCTTCCAACATGATAATGCTCCATGTCACAAAGCAAAGATTGTGAACACGTGGTTTGAAGAGAAGAACATCGGAATACTGCAATGTCCAGCACAGAGCCCCGACCTCAACCTGATGAAACATATTTGGGATGAACTTAAATGCAGAATTAGGGCAAGGTCAAGATGGCCCTCTTCAGTAATGGAGCTTACTAATGCTTTAAAGGAAGAGTGGAGCCACAATACCACCAGCTTTCTATCAACAATTAGTGGACAGTCTTCCACGACACATTGAAGCAGTCATTAAAGCCGAAGGCGGGCTAACACACTAATAATTTCTTGGAATAAAGACATGTTTTATTCATAACTACCCGTGTCCCATGACTTTTGGTAGGATAGTGTATGTGTCAATGGCATGAAAGCAACTGAGATTCGGCAGATCAGTCTATTAATATATGTATTAAAGCAGGCGTGATGTGCATGAAAAAACCTGAAATACGTCAATCAGCTACATCTGTGCATCATAGAAAAACATCTAGTACACTAGCTAGATCAGGAGTTGAGACTGATGAGTCAAGAGAAGATAAGGATGCCATCTCATGTTATGGGGTGCCATCTTATGTTGTGTTGATTCTCACTAAGACGGAGGAATGAGCTGAAAGTACTTATCAGGCTGTCTACAATGATCCAAATCAGGAAACACTGGAGTTAGAGACAAAAGACAATTCAAACAGCAGGACCAGCTGTTGATAATAGACTCCTGATCAATACAGCCGGGATTAATAAATTATTGAGAAGTTAGGATGCTTTTAAGATTAGAGAACTTAAAAGGGCTTAAAACCCTTACTTCCTGAGCTATCAAGCGGAGTTCCATTATAAGAGATATCCACCAGATATTGGATTATCACTGCCCAACTACTACATTTAAGGTGGTTACTATTAACAAATACAGTGCCTACTATATTATTAATTTGCGCGACTGACAATAATAACTATAATTTATAATACTCAATTGAAAGGGTGTTGTGACCATTACTTTTTGAGCTACTGAATGAGTTTTATGAGGGAAAATGCTATACATTGTTTCAACAGAATCATTCATCTGATCGAGTTGAATGGCGAGAACTCGATAAAGCATACTACCTGGTCCTTACTGTGTTTTCACCATACACACGAACAATTTATAAAGTTGTGTTTCAGTTGTGTTTATGTTAATATAAAAATAGTAGCAGCATAAATATTAGTACTGGTTAGCTGAAAAGTCCTAGTTTGGCTGAATTCTGCCTAATTTGGCAGTTTTGAGATTGAAATATTGGCATGAATTTAATTATCGTGTATCAATAATAGTAACTAAGAGACTCACACTGCATCTGACAGAAAACACATTTTACCTGATATTTTTCAGTAAAAGCAGTGAAAGATATTTCCATTGGATTGAATTGAAATATGTAAAAGTTGGTGAAATATCAAAAGTAAATTAAATTCATGGACAGTAACTTAGGTGTCATAACAAATTTAAGAATGGTGAAACTTTGTAATTCACACCCAAGATAGTAACATACTTGTATCTGGAAGAAGGTTCCTAAGGAGTGAAGCATATGAATGTTAGTGAATTCTAATGGCCAAAAGTAAGGGTTAGTGTCCCTTGAGCTAAGTCAGGCCATGTGTATAGAAACCAGTTTTACATCTCAACCCACTTTCTTTCTCACTGAACCCAGGCTATATCCTTGTGATAACCAGATGGTAGTGGAAGGAAGGTGACTGGATTGAAAGATAAGCCATATTGACTGTTGTCTGGCAGAGACTACAGTGGGAAGTATTGCTATAGGTTGTGGTCAAGCACAAACCCAATGAAGCCTAGAAGCCCAAATAGTTTTTATGGGCAATATATGGCATGAGTACACATGAAGCCCATAGAAAATGTTTGAAAAAGTATTGTTTTAGCACCCTGCCTCTAAATGTAACAGGTCACAGTTTTAACTGAAAAGTTACGACCCTATTTATACTCTATACATGTAGTTGATCTTCTGACCAATTGTAATTTACCTGACTTTATGTTATCAACCTGAACATTTTCTATTTAAGATCAAATTCTTGACCATTCTGTTTTGCGACTATCCAATTGTTCTCCATTCGTAGTTACTGACCTTCTCACTATACTGCATAATCGACTGCCAGTACTTTGAAGAGCAGTACACCTAGGACTTCCTTTTAAATAAATAACTGAACTACATGGATAATTGTCAGGCTCCCAGTTTCATTCTAATATTCGCCATAGCTGAGATTACAGATGAAGATGCATTGCTTGTCAAAACATAGGACAAGGGAGAGCTCACTACATCTGTCATTGGGTTGATCAGAAATATTCTGGGGCTGGCAGTCCCCATCACCCTCGGTAAGTTCCACTGAGCTCAGGCCTCCACTGGATGTACCAGTGGTGGAGGGAGCTACTTTAATAACCACAGCCAACATCACCACCATCACTGACTCCAAAGAAAGGGGAGTCAGTCTCACCAAGAAGCCTATAACAGGACCTGTTCCTGAAGTGTCCTATCAGAGGATGTAATGTTTCTAAAACCTGATGGCATCAGGTGTTCTCCAACTTTTGGCAGGAGCAGTACATACCAAAATCTCAGAAAACATTTCCAGAACTTAGATCCTCTCGAGTGTTGGATCAGGAAAGGTCCCCAGATGATGGTTGCTGCCATTGGAGTCCGGACCACCAGATGTAATGCCGCCATCACCTTGATGATGACTAATGCAGTGGTCTAGAAGGACAAGCCAGGACTTGCTATGCCAAGAATGATATTCACTATTAATGAATGGGCATTAACTGCTGGATCTACCATCATCCAGCCAAAGAAGAAAGACATCTACTGTCGAGGTACAACCAGCTAAGCAACGCTGAGAACAGCCTCGGAAACTACTGAGAGTGGAAATCCTGATTAATTAAACCACCCAAGCTTATCCCAAACTGACCTATTCTAGAGCATCTCCCTGTGTTTAGTCTGCATTGTAAGGATATGGCAATAAAATGGACTGAGGCTTGCACCCTCTACAACCAGGAAGGGGACTGGCTGTGAGTTATACCTCCATTGTGGCTCAAAGTAGAGGTATGTCAAGTAGGTCCTATATTATTAACAACCATAGCAACCAATTGGAAAACCACCACTGCATTCAATGATTAGCTGACGGAATTAACAAGGGGACGGGAAAATGTGGTATGCAGATATAGCATGCATCTTATACCTACTTGTTTTAAGTTAAAATGTTCCAATTTTTTTAGTTTGTTCTAAGCGTGTGCAGTTTTGAAATAATACATGGTTCGGGAAATCAGTTAGTTGAGCCCCCAGTGGCACAGCGGTATGTCTGCGGACTTACAACGCTAGAAACCGGGTTTCGATACCCGTGGTGGGCAGAGCACAGATAGCCCTTGTGTAGCTTTGTGCTTAATTACAAAACAAACAAACAGTTAGTTGATTTCATTCTAACTACTTTTGTTCCTTGTCATCACCTTGGAGATAACACCTGGTAAAACCATGGGTGTATAATTATAAAGCTGCATCTTATGCATGAAGGTCAACAGCAGTATCCTCCAACGGTAGGTTAGATTACAACATCCCTTATGTTTGAATTGGTAAGTGCTAATTGTCAATTAAGTAACATGAGATTTAGACAATCTAGAACATTATTTCAAGTGAGTTTGTCAGTTTGAAAATAAGTATTGAGGGACTAAAGTCAGTCCGATCAATTCAAAAGTCCAACGGAAGTCCAAAGTTTGTGTTTGTTATGTTAATTAGACTGTTTTCATTATGTATCACATCTTGTGTCCAGTTCGTTATTTAATAGTATAGACGCAGTCAGTTTTAGTGAAACATAATATTATTTCGCAATGTTTCTTGCCAAATCTTTTGTTATATAGCGCACCTACCTAAGTTAATTTTCCTGGAAATAAATTTACCTAAACACACCATACTGTGACCTTTTTGTTTTTTAGATTAAATTTTACAAACATTTTATAAAAAACTCCAACTCGTTATTTTTGAAATCGAAGATATTATGTCAGTTTTGAGTTAATGGAGCTTATACTGATGTTTTTTTAACAGAAATTTCTTACCATAATATTAGTGAAATACAAAATTCGAATTACATCACCATACATGTAAATATGTTTTGCTACCATACTACACCCATGCGGCCCGGCATGGCCAGGTGGTTAGGGCACCCGACTCGTAATCTGAGGGTCGTGTCACACCAAACATGCCAACTTCCGTCAACTAAAATCGGATCAGGGAATATGGGAGCATATCATCTGCTGATGGCCGCCCCCATAACTCGCAACTAAAAAAAAAAAAAAAAAACTACACCCATGCAAATATTATTGTAAAAGCGAAATATAATGTCAGATGGCGCTAATAATAGTACTAAGTTTATATAAGGACAGACACGTGTGGTTTGAGGTTAGAAATGTGCTGTATTGAAGTGATTGTTGGAAGTGTATGTTTATACTAATATATTGGTTTTTACATTACAGTTTGTTTTTATTTATGCTACTGACTAACTTTGTGCTGATTTTGGTTTCAAATGTGCGTAGCCTATCTGTAATATATTTGTACTGGTATATTGTCATAAATGGAATAGGAATATTGTTACTGTTAAAAAGATCAATAAATCACGACCTAATATTAATAATAATACACCAGAAAATGTAAATGGTTTTATTTAAGCCAACGTTTCGCCATTATATTTACAGCTTCATAGGGGCAACGAGGCGCTTGCTGAACTTGCTAGTAGTAGTACTAGGACAGTAGTAGTAAATGGCGAAACATTGGCTTAAAGTTAAATATAACTGATGTATCCTGGAGTAATAGATTGTGTTTTATTTATATCTAACAACGAGTACAACTCTCCAGTTTACATAACAAACCGTAAATTCGTATGATAATATTTTTATTATTATTAAGAGTTGTATCTTCGGTAGAGTAATTAGTCAAACTGGTGTCAATATTGAAATTAATCCAACATATTTAGTAATTACTTCTTTGGTTTAAATTTTTTATCAGTTCGTTTTAGTTAATGTTATGACAGCAAAAATGTAAAATTGATTGATAATAATACAATGCAATATGTTGGCATATTTGATATGAACAAGTTTGTAATTTAAGTGTTAAATGCTAATTTCTAAAAATGTGCATTGTCACATTATATTCTTTACTGATTGATAAAGTATTATGTGGCCTTTATAAGTTAATAGTTATGACACCTTTTGTTTTATGCTTTTAATAATAGCTGATTAGAGTTATATGATTATAAAAACTTAAGTTTTTCAAATAGTTATTTTTTATGCTGTACAGGTTTCAGATAGTATATAATTATTATATATAAAAATGTTATGTAGTTGTTCCATAAAACTATAACAAATATTTTCTTGAAATTATACATATAATGATCATTTAGTTCATGTGCTTGAGTTTTAAATAACTGTTACAAATATAATGTGCATTTTGTAATATACTATTTATTAAATGTTTGATAAACAATATTATTGATGGTATGAATGAAACAATTTTATTTTGTACTTATTGATTAATTTGTGTTCAACAGTGGCAACCTTGCAAAGTAAACTAAATGTAACTATTTGTATCCATTTATCTAACAAATGTGCATACTTTGTAACTCAAGACAAACTATTCTGTAACTTTATAATTCTTAATTAGAAACGAAATTTTTGATATAGTTTTGATCCAGACTTGCAAAGCTTGAACTTTTTTTTTCTAATGTCCAAAATTCTCCCACTCACAGGCAGATTGTTAAAACCTGAAACAGTTCCAAACAACTGAATAAAGTCAAATGTAATTTTCTTTGCTTCAATAATTTAAAAAAATACTAAGTATTTAAGGATGCACTGACTCTTAAATCTAGGCAAATTTACATGCTGAGGAAAACTGTTAAACACTTCCTATAACATGCTCTTTGTAAACATCCTCATAGCTTGAATTTTTTAAAATTCAAAAATGGTATGAGACTAATTACCACTAGCAAAGGCATTAATTAAAATTAATTGCTCATAGTTCATTAACATGGCAGAAAATTTACAAAGTTTTTAATTCAAGCTATGACGATGTTCACAAGGAACATTTATATCAATTTTCATGTTCCTAAATAAAGTTATAGTGTTCAAACAGTTTATGTTATGTATTTCTTTATCCCTGCTACATTAATTATACATATGACATATATGACTAAAAGTGATTGCAACATCAAACTTTTATTTTGTACAAGAAGCATTTAACAGTGTTTCCTCAGCATGTAAATTTGCACAGTTTTATGGGTCAGTATTGTATTAAGTTTTTTTTTAATAACTCAATGTTTTCAAACTGGATATTATTCTAGTAGCCAGTCTTTCTAATTTTTCAAGCATGCTAAAATCTTTCATGTTGTAAGAAGACCAGAAACCACAAGCAGCCTTCCAGATTATTTTCAACAGCCTTATACAATAACTTTTTATTCTTAAATATAAATATCTATTAATATATCCCAGAACACAAATTAGCTTTTTTCACTACAGTTAAGCAATCAGCAGAAAGCTTCTAGTTTTTTTTCAGTAGTTGTAACTAAATATTTCTCCATTTCAACAAGAACAAACATTTTCCTACTTTGAATATATCACTTTACATTTTAACACTGAAATTCATTTGCCACATTCTTTTCCAGCCACTAAGACTGCCCTGACACGTTATCTGAACATCAGCCTTCATCAGAATTTTGATATCATCAGGAAATTTACAAACATTGTGGTTCATGAAATTATAAACATTGTTGATATAAAATAATAACCACAATTATCCCAAAACAGTCCCATGAGGTTTTCACATTAGCCCTATTCTCCCAACGGGAAAATAAAATAAAATTGTTTACATATTTCCTAACTTCACAACCAATTTCATTGAAATTCAACTACAAAACTAGTCTCTTATGCAATGATTTATTAAATAATTTACTGTTTAGACTTTAGCTTCATTGTTTCATTACAGATAACCTGTGATTTATAATACTGATCCCTTCAAAGAGAAAAGAAGAATGGCTGATGTTCTCAGCATCGAAGATTTACTCTCATTTGACTTAGAAATTGTGGAGCTTGGGTCCACTGGGAAAGTAGACATACAACGAAAAGATCAAGAATCCCCTCCTGTACCAAAGTCAACAGTGAGACAAATTACTTTTTCTACTGCATATTTAAAAATACACTAATATATATATATATATATATATGTTTAGGTTGACATAGCTGTGCTAGTAATAGTTTTTCTATCAATAGCTCTAGAAAAAAGAATATATTTCTGGTAATGAGCAAATAATATTATAACTGCTTGGAATGATTCTTATATTAGATTGTCTTAGCTCTATAATGTAGTCCTGAAATACTTTACACTGTTCCAGTAGTTGGGTCTGGAAGACCCATACAAACAATATTGTATATTTGCTGAAAAAAAATATGACTCCAACAGAAATATTTGTCACTAAATTGTAGAGGAATAAAAGAAAGGTCTTGGCAACATATGTATTTGTAGTAGAATTACTGCACATCGGAAATCATGCCGGATCTCTTGGACTGCATTCTAGGGTTAAAATAAAAGCTAAGCTGCATCAAAGCATGTAAAATACATTAAATCTAATTTAAGTGTGTGTATGTGTCAGAGCTACTAACAGTTACCTGTTGAGTATGTGACTAATTCATCTGGGCCTCTACTCAAGCTCACATGCATTAGTAAAAAAAATTCCATCTTTTGGTCACATTAGCAGTTTTTGTCATTCACTGAGGTTGGTTGACCAGCTGGATCCAGGTTAAATTCAGCATTGTATTCACCTAAGAAATGCACCATTTGCTTCAGTAAGTAACAAATTTTCTGGGGGAGCATGCCCATAGGCCCCCCTTTAGCACTCACAGCACACTATCATCTTATTTTTTTCAAAGTCTAACTCAAACAGATTTTGAAAGTTGCCAGCTCAAAAATTGTGTGTACAAGTTGATGAGTGAATTTTAACCTCAGTATCAAAATTGTTCTTCAAAAAGCATGTGAAGAGTCTTGGCTCTCTGGAAAATGTTCATATAGGATTTTGTTTTTGTTTAGGTTCTGTAATATTTTTTTCTCAGTGTGTAGTAGCTTTTGTTATATTACATTTTCTCAATATTAAGTAAAATAAAAGTTTCAAGTTAGAATTAAATTTATAGTGTTTTGTTTTCATTAATGTATGGTTAGTTATTTATAGACATTTAGTGTAAATTGCTATATATATGTATATATATATGTTTGTGGATGGTTGTGTTCTCATTAGCTATTTTTATTATTATTTTGTTTCTCTTGCTCTGAGGGCTTTCAATGCATATTTCATTAACAATGAGAATACCTAACTGAGCATTGATTTATAAAATTTAATACATGTAGTCAGTTTTTTTGGCTTCATCAAGTAATAAGTTTAATTTTTATTTCTGTTCTACATGTTGGCTTACTTTTGATCAGAAGTTCTTGGTAATTGTGGTTAAGAATACTGAATTTCTTCAATTTTTAGTCATTTCTTATAAGAAAATATTTGTGTTCAAGCTTCCTTTTGGACCCCCTCCACTATTATCAGACTTCAAGACTCAATTATTGGAATTTCTAGATCATGCAGAGAAACTTCCTATTCATCATGTTGACCATGTTCAAAAGTAAGAGATCAAGATTAGCTTGTTTAATTGTTAAGCTACTCTGAAGCAAAAATAAGGTGTGTATATATATATATATATATAATAATTAAAAAACAATATCTTAAATTAGAAGTTTGTAAGCCTTCCCCTATTAATATGTTAACCATATTCAGAAATAGGGTATTACATCTAGATAATCAGTTTAAATGTAAGTGAGTTGGGAAAAAACACTATTGCAAATAATAAAATCAACATATTATAAAGACTTTAGAAGGAACAGTTATATGTAGGAAATATATTTATACTTTACCTTTTCTATTTCAAAGATATAAAGGTTTTCTAAAAAATGTTTTTCTTGGGATGTTTTTTTATATCTAATAAAAGCAGTAGAAAATTTTTGCATTGTTGTGTGATAAGGAAACGTTAGCTTTTGCAATGTCAGTTTATACAAAGTCAACAAAATATTCCTATTAAGGCTCAGAATTTGCCATATACTGTTTTGTTTTTACAATATGTTAATAAGTTTCGTGTTTTTTTTTTTTAGGTTTATTCCACGAAAACCTAACGTTGCATCTTTATATTCTTTGGACTTGGAACCACTACAGACTTCTCTACAAGTAGACAGAGATCCCACCACTGGTCAGTTGTTGGGCTTTAAAGAGGTAATTGTGCAATCAGGTTAAACATATATATTAACTCAAACATTTTCTGTTGTATTTAATTTTGTCTGTTGGTGTTGAATTTAGTTGAGTCAGTTTTTCCCATGGCAGTTCTTCATAGCTCTATCCATAGTACAGTTATTTGATTGGTTAAAATCTATGTCTACAAAGGTTTAAATATTGAAAATGTTTTCTACAAGGAAGTTTTGTAACCAACTTTTCCAATATGAATTCATGAATTTGATGTCCCTTAGTTTTAAACCATGGTTTCAATTACCACAACTCTATATAATTTGTCAAACTTAGACATGTTCTATTAGGAGAATATCATAATTTGGGAAAACAGATGTCTGTCTGTCCATTGTGTATGAATATGTAAAAGAAGAAGAGAAAAAGAAATACACAAAAAACAATTATATGTAGAGATGTAAAGCCTACTAAAAGCAGCTCTTATGAATGTATGTTAATTTTTTGTCTATATGTTACTGAAATTTAACAAAAAACCTTTTTCTGCTGTAAAATCTTTAAATCATATTTTTTGTGTAATGCTGTAACATCAAAATGATTTTTTAAAACCAGTTTTCAGAATATCCTCTGTCATTTAATGCTAACAATAAATATTCCATTTTTATATTTTATAGAAAATGCACATAGTCAGCATGTTTGAACATGATTTTATTTAAGTTTTGAATAGGTTTATTGTGTAATTTTCTAAACTTTTGTGTACAAATTCAGTGTTTCATTGATTATGAGAATTCCATTAAAAAGTACAAAATCATGGATGACTAGCTCAAAATTTTAAAGAAAGGGTATTATAAGGTCGTTCTTCTCTTAACAAATGCATAAACAGGGATGACTAATTAAAATGTGGGATGAATATTTTTAGTATCAACATTGCTGGAGATGGTTTTTAGTCTTGGAACTTTTAGAAAGAGCATATCTTAGTAGCCAAATATTAAATTTTCTATGGTTAGATAAGAATATGAATTGAATAAAATACTACAATTCTATATATTTTGTCAAATTTTAACACATTTCACTAGTAAACAATAAATATTTGAGTTTTTCAAATTAAAGTTAAATTTTTATTATTGCCAAAAAATAACCATTTGACACTTTTAATGATTTCAGTAAAATAGAACAACTTGTTAATAAATACTAAAAAAACAGTTGTTAAACGAAGTACTTTTATAAGCACATATTGTAAAAAATGGTTTTAATAGTGTGAATCTACTAATTTTGTAAGAATTACAATTTAAAGTTTTACAGAAAGTTTTAGATGGAACAAATTATATGAAACCCTATGTAACAAGTCTTATTTATGTTGCAATTTGTAAAACAGTTCTTATGTTGTCATTTTTTATCTGACTACACAGCTAGCTGTGATCTCATCACAGACCTGGTGTTGTTGTAACATTTGATTCTAAAAGGTTGTAATTCGCTTAATGACCAATAGAGGTTTTAGCATGTTTGTACAGAGTTTAGTATTTGATATTAAAATGATTATAAATATTCAAGTCACATGACAAACACATCTGGTGTAAAATCATAGTGGAATGAAATGTATCACAACTACATTTGTTTTTGACACCAAAAATGGATCACTTTTGGGAAGAGTATGAAACAGACTTTTCTGATGCAAAATTATTTATACAATTGGATCATAACCATGTTCATGTTGTGTATTTAGAATTGTCAAGATGCATATATCCCTTGTATTTAATGGCATTGGAAAATAAAGACATAAGGATTAACTTGGGGAACCAGGACGATCTAAAAGAAAACCTACAACAACTCATACCTCAGACATGGTAAGCAAAGTACAGTTTCTTGTTAATGGTGAGAATCCACAAACACAAGGTCGATAGCAAAAGCCATGCACGTGATCCTGGCAATAGTAAGCAACATAATCAAGAAGGATTTCCATCTGGAGAATTGAGATAAGTCACAAGTACACAAGTTGCTTATACATATCCTTTCAACTGTTGCATACGTCAAGCAGCTGGAGAGTGAAATAGGTATTCATGGTGTTCCACATGAAGACATACTGGTCAAGTCACTGGATCTTTGGATTTTTGTGTAATCATACTGTTTAAATGGGTGCTGGGACATCATTATCCTTGTACACGAGAGGGATTGTGAAAAGCCATCAGGGAAGAGTAGTATGCTTTAGACATGAAAACCTTATAATGGAGCCTCTTGCAATAGAAATTACCTGCAGTGCTATTGTCAAAATGCATGGCCATCAGATAGAGTATGACAAATGGTGACATAGACTGTAATGACCTGATGAGGCTCCAAAATCATTTAAATATAATGTACTCAAACTCTGTGTGGCACTGAATTTTGAATAAATATCTAGATTTTCCACATTATAACAAAAACTTTTATCATGAGGTGATTTTTAAAAAGTCATGGAAGTAGATTATCCAGTATTTCAAATGTTACTAATGAAGAAACGTCTAAAGGTGGCACATTCAAAATCTTGACTTGAGTTTGTAATTGTATTTCATAATACTCCATTGTATATTAGCTTAGAATTCATTGGATACATAGAGAACATGTGGGCTTTAATATAGCAGTGTGTTTTTTAGAAATATTTTCTTTATGCATGTAATTTTATTGCCATCATCATAATAACTAGTTGCCAAAAGCAATAAGTCTGTAAAAATTGTGAACCCATGAAACATTTTTCACAGAAGCTATTTATAAGCAAACAACTTCTAACATATAAAAAGCTTTATGTAAAAAAAGCATTTTATAAAGAAGAAAGCTCACATTTTTTTATCACAGTTTCACATGTTCTGTTCCTGTTTATTTTTTAGACATTACAACTGTTACTTTATGTTAAATGTGCACAAAAACTAATGAAAAAGCCAAGTTAATCTTATTACATAAAAACTACTGTATTTGAAAACCTAATATATTTATTTAAACCTCACAACATACTTTTATTTGTAGTGTTAAATATTAGAATAATAAAAAAATTTTATGCATTCCTTTCATAAGCAAGATAAAAAATTATGTTACATATTATTTTTAATTTTTCAGTTCTTCCATACATAGAGCACTAAATGAAAGTTAATACTCTCTTGTATTTGATATTCCATAGATTTTTAAAAATTAAGTTTATAGAGAATTTTTCCTTCATTACTATTTCTCCATAAATAGGTAAAAACTGAAGAACAAGGAGCCACGGCAAAAAACTCTATGTCCTTGCAGCGAGCTCCAGGCCCTCCATCTGAAGCTGTTCGTGGAAGCTCGACTAATATCCCTTTCTGGCCAGGAGGAATGGATGAGCCAAGCATGGAGATGTTAAAAGCTGCTACAAAACAAGAAGATATTGATTTTGACAGAGGTTTGTCCAAGCACTCATTACACTTTTCTCCAGAACTATTATCTTGATAGATGTATTTCAAATTATTGATGCAAGTTTTCTTCCATTTACTTTTTCTTTAAAGGATTTCAATGGTAGGTGTTGGCCTTTTCTCTGTTTTTTTTTTTTTAACAATTCAATTCTCAACAACCTACCATCAAATTCACTTTGGAAATATAACTAGAATGCAAGTTACCCTTTCTTTGTGTCCTTGACAAATGCAACTCAACAAGCTTATCAAAAACCAACTAACATGGACAAATATCTACATCATTGATCAGAAAAAATCAAATGTTATTTATATAGCCCTTTCTAAATTACCAGTGATTTGGTTTCTACAGCTTTTAATAATTTGCTTTCAAGTAAAATGTTTATTTTGGACAGTTTTTTTTCTTTGTAATGCTTCATTAGTGTTACCAAACTTAGTTCCATCATGAGTGTATTTATATATCATTGTTTCTAGTCCTTAGCACAAACTTAACTACTTTCAATTTTTAAGCATAAAGTGCTTGGATGACCATGTGATAAGATGTAATAGCACAACAATGTATAACTTGTACATGCAAAAGTAAAATATAATTCAGAACGATAAATAACACAGGTAGTCTACAATTCAAAACCAGAATTAATTTCATCTGTTAATAATATAAGTAGTGTTGTCACTTGTGCAAAACAAATTTTAAACTAAACTTGTAATAATTTAGAAAGAAGTCCAATCAAAATCAGGACTTGTTCCAGTGAATAGACTTATGTACATATGTTTAATAACTATAGCAAAATACCATAATCATAAATGCCAAGAGTCAGTCACACTGTATAAATATCTGTCAAGGAGGGAGTTTTTACACCAAGGATTTATTTAGCAACGAGTAAAATTAATTTGCCGTTTGTTATGAAGAGAAGTTTTTGAATGATTATCAAGTATTTATAAGATATGTGGTTTTAAAAGAAGTTTTGCAATAATGTAGTTGATGTGATTAGAAAATAACTGTGATCAAAAAATGCTGGGACAAGGATCAATGCTGGGAAGACACTCTTCAGGTAAAGTAGATATTGCTCATCATAGGCTTTGGTTTCCTGAAGCTAGAAGGCCCCCTTATTTTCTTTTGTCTGTTTATGGGCAGTAAAGTTACAAATGCATATTGGAGGATTCAAATTTGGTAGGCTTTGGTTTCCTGTCTTTTTGGATCAGTTTTTTTACTAGTATTTACATATTTCATCAATATAACATTCATTTTATCATGATAATGTTATATTTGTACTTACAAATCAAAAGGCATACAAAAGTAACCAAAATTGTCAAGTGGAAGTTATTTTGGGTTTCTCTCACCACTACTGAGAAAAGCTTTGTTCTTAACTTGTTATACAGAATTAACCAAATGTTTAGTTCCCAACTAAGACATTATTCTGAAATGATGAACTTAGATTAACAATTGAATAGAAAGCAATGGACCTGAGAATTAACCAAAAATTTTAGACTTCAATTATATTTTAATCCCATTTTGTCTACTCGTAAGAGACTCCACTGCATTGGTTTTAATTTCAATTGCTAAGTCATAATAGTAAATTGGCAAACAATGATCATACTTGAATAAGACAGACCAGTGTCTTGTCAAAAGATTTAGTTCCACCAAAATAAACCACTTCTTTATGCTTATAAATCATTGTTTATTAATGTATTGTCAGCACAACACACTTCCATACTCAAGCAAGTGATAGTAATATTTCATGCATACTGTTTCAAAAATATTGACTCATCAATTTTCAAAAATGCTTTTCTTTATATACATTATTGAAGTAATTAATGATAATTAAAATACACAGGTATACACGTACGGGAATCACAAAAAAATAATATTTATAATATTTTCTAACCAAAACACACTGATACAGCTTTTCTATATGGTATTTTTAAATTTAGAGCCACGAGTTTATTCATCATACTTCTGTTGGCAGTAGTATGACTGCTGGTGTGGCACTGTGATTATTTGGATGACAGCCAATCACAACATAAAATATAGATACCTGATTGTACTCTAGTGCAGCTTATTTTTGTATGAAAGGGGTGAGCAAACCCACAATAATTGCATCTTATGCCTATTTTATTCACTTTTTTCCTTAATTATTTACAGTT